TAAGCCGTAGCAGAGAGCTGGATCGGAAGTGGAGCAGATGGATCTCGAACTGGACAGGAAACTCACTCCAATGGAAATGGAGAGAGTGCATGACACTACCTGAGCCACCAGGTGACTGGCTGACGTATATACTTTGATTTCTTCTCACACATCAACTCTTTCTCATTTCTTTTTCATTTAAACATCATGAAAATTTCTATTTTTTATATCACTTAAATAAATAATTTTACCAAATTTAGTGGATACAATATGGTGGAAATCAAGAAGCAATTTGTCTCAAGACCCCTCATGCAAAACATACTTTAGTCCTGCTTGGAGTAGGCAGGCTGGAATGAGGTTAGGGGCTGAAAAATACACTTGCTAGGGCTGGCGCTGTGGCGCAGCAGGTTAAGACACCGCCTGCAGTGCCAGCATCCCATATGGGCGCCAGTTCGAGTCCCGGCTGCTCCACTTCCGATCCAGCTTTCTGCTATGGCCTGGGAAAGCAGTAGAAGATGGTCGAAGTCCTTGGGCCCCTGCACCCATGTTGGAGACCCAGAATAAGCTCCTGGCTCCTGGCTCCTGGCTCCTGGCTTCAGACTGGCGCAGCTCTGGCCATTGCGGCCAACTGGGGAGTGAACCAGCAGATGGAAGACCTCTCTCTCCCTGCCTCTTCTTCTCTGTCTGTGTAACTCTGACTTTCAAGTAAATAAATAAATTTTTTAAAAAAGAAATAAAAATATACTTGCTTAACCCCAACACTTTTATCTCTTATCCTTTCCCTGCAGAAGAAGGAAGAGGAGGGATGAAGAAAAAATTACCAAAGCCAGTTATATCTCTTTTCACATTGTTGCTAAAGTAAGGAAGTCACTTTTTATTCTATTAAATAACTTACATCTCGGGGCCAGCGCTGTGGCGCAGTGGGTTAAAGCCCTGGCCTGGAGCGCCAGCATCCCATATGGGTGCCAGTTCTAGTCCTGGCTGCTCCTCTTCCGATCCAGCTCTCTGCTGTGGCCTGGGAAAGCAGTAGAAGATGACCCAAGACCTTGGGCCCCTGCACCCACGTGGGAGACCCGGAGGAAGCTCCTGGCTCCTGGCTTTGGATCAGTGCAGCTCCAGCCTCTGCGGGAGTAAACCAGCAGATAGAAGACCTCTCTCTGTGTGTCTCTACCTCTCTCTGTAACTCTTTCAAATAAATAAAATAAATCTTTTAAAAAAATAACTTACATCTCAATTACTGAGATGACTTGCAGCCTCACAGAATTTTTCTCTACGTCTGGACTCTGTCCATTCAACGAGTATCGGAATATTGGTCAATAAAAAACAAGTCTCTAGCAGACTGGAATTGAACACTTTGTTATTCCAAACAATCTGACTTAAAATGCAGGCTATGTGGGGAACAAATTCACATGGATCGAGAAGGGAGTCAAGAATTTACCCCAGAGAGGAGGGAAATTGCCCACTAGAGAATTCTGAAGTAGGAGAATGTTTTCATCAAGTTAGGAAGGATGTCTTAAAATACCAGGTGGCATGAAATCTACTTTAGGGCCTGAAAGCCACCTGTTTACAGACTCCAAGCACTCAGAATGAGATCAAATGAAAAACTTATGTAACCATCAAGCAAGACAAAGATGTGACATTAAGTTGCACTATGAGAAAACAATGGTTTCAAGTTCAAGCCCGTATAAGGCTAAGTTGCAAATGACACAAACCCTCAAATCTTACAAGTTTTTTTTTTAAAAAAGATTTATTCATTTATTTGAAAGTCAGAGTTACACAGATAAAGGAGAGGCAGAGAGAGACAGAAGTCTTCCATCTGCTGGTTCACTCCCCATTTGGCCACAATGGCCAGAGCTGTGCCAATCCAAAACCAGGAGCCTCTTCCAGGTCTTCCACAGGGGTGCAGGGGCCCAAGGTCTTGGGCCATCTTCTTCTGCTTTCCCAGGCCATAGCAGAGAGCTGGATCGGAAGTGAAGCGGCCAGGATTTGAACCGGCACCCATATAGGATGCAGGCACTGTAGGCAGCAGCTTTATCCAGTATGCCACAGGCAGCCCCAAATCTAACAACTTTAACCAAAGATGTTTTATTGGCTCAGAGGTTCAGAGTTCAGAGGTAGGTCTGCTTTGGGTAAGCCTTGGTCTAAAGGTTCAAGTATCACCAAGGACTTCTTCATCTTATCATGGTCTTCTTTGGTATCTGCCTCATTCTCAGTTCCACACGGTAGTATCAGGAAGCCCAGAATCTTCCCATTTAATAGAAAAATTAATTACTATAGTTCCATGCCTCACACTTTCCTGCATTCCATACAGAGGAGATCAGAGAATATCTCTTTTGTTAGCTTTCAAAGCGAAGTCCTTCTCTTCCAGGAGACTCCTCCCCTCCTATCACAGTGGCTCTGTTCTGGCCAAGGGAATGAGATAAGCTGATTGGCACGCATGAACTTGAGCATGCAGCCAAACCACACAGCTGAGAAAGGATGCCCGGGGAGTAGCTGCTGGAAACCAAATAAAGACAGTCATTACAGAGCCCTACCTGAAAGCCAACAGACAGATGCTCAGAATTGCAGACACTAATCGCCAGTGCATTGCTTCTCAAACAGGCAGCTCTGTAGCTGGCTCCAGGATACAACACAGCAGAAATTTAATTATGAATTCCTCCTAAGAAATTCTGGGTAGTCCAGCTACTTTTCAGTACATGACCTACATACTATTTCCATACTTTCTCACTCCTTAATCCTATTGTATACAACTTCAAAGGCAACATTTCACCATAAGCAATTCTTTAATATGCTGTTGGTTGCAACTTATAGGAAAATATCTCATTCTCTCTACCTTTTATATATATCCAAAACTTGAGAACTGAGTTTTAATTTTTTTCCTTTTCTGCCTCTGAGATATTTGGAAAGTTGGAAGGTCTTCCATGTTACAATTTCTTCATTACAGATTATGGAATCTAATATGTGGTCGGGGCATCCAAGCTCCTTTAGTAAGGAAAAGGCCAGTTAGGATTCCTTTGGTAGAGGCCATCCATTTCACGTCATTTCCTAATCCTTCTGATACACCAGTCTTCTGCCATGTTTTCATGATTCTCATTACACTATTTCAAAAATTCTTGTCACTCTACCACCCTGGCTACATCTTTTTTTCTTTGTTCCTAGGGTTGATCACCTCCCATGATGTTCCTCTGTAGGTTCCTTCTCTTCATGGTTCCATTTCTGGGGGCTTTTATTACTATTCATTATCACTCTCCATTTTAAGATTCTGATCTCAGTCAGCATATGCATCATCCTCACTGCAGGAGCTTATAAATACTTTGGGGTTTTAATGATCAGCTTCTTGCAGTCCTGATTCAAGCCTGATTCATCCCTATTTCAGCTGGTACCTGCATGTGTTCACTGCCAACCCCACTAGCTAATCTTTCTCAGTATCCCTTGCTGGCACCTCTCATGAGACACGAGAATATTAGAAAAAGATGGCAGCACACAATTAAATTCGAACTTGGTCTGCATATCTTGCTACACTCTCTATGGGGAAGCAATGTCCAGTAGAACTTTTCACAATGATGAAAATATTCTGCACCTACACTATGCAGTAAACTCCCTAACTACCACTATGGAGACTGAGTGCTGAAATGTTGCCAGCATGACAATGGAACTAAATTTGTAATTGAAGTTGCAATGTGTGGCTAGTGACTCTTTTTTTTTTTTTTTTTTTTTTTTTGACAGGCAGAGTGGACAGTGAGAGAGAGAGACAGAGAGAAAGGTCTTCCTTTGCCGTTGGTTCACCCTCCATTGGCCGCCGTGGCTGGCGCACTGCGCTGATCCGAAGGCAGGAGCCAGGTGCTTCCTCCTGGTCTCCCATGGGGTGCAGGGCCCAAGCACTTGGGCCATCCTCCACTGCACTCCCTGGCCATAGCAGAGAGCTGGCCTGGAAGAGGAGCAACTGGGACAGAATTCGGCGCCCCGACCGGGACTAGAACCCGGTGTGCCGGTGCCGCTAGGCGGAGGATTATCCTGTTGAGCCGCGGCGTTGGCCGGCTAGTGACTCCTATACTGGAAAGTGCAGCTCTAGAGGATCTCATTCCTTCCTTCCTTTCCATGACTTTATATCCTCTGTTATTCAATAACTTCAGTGGGCAATTCCAGCCATGGCTGACCCAGAGCTCCAGCCCATTGTATACAATTGCCAATGTGAATTCTTCACTTGCACTTATCATACATACTTCCAAAGTGTCAGTTTAATACAGTTCTAGATTTCTTCCTTCCCAAGCGTCCTCCCCCTGCAGCATGATTCCTTCCAGTCACGGGGATCACTGTTCATACAGCTGCTCAAGCTAGAAATCAGAAGGCTAGCCTCAATTCCTCCCATCCATTAGTAGTCACTGATTTTTTTTCCCCAAAATATCTTAAACCCACCTACTTTGCTCCATCTCCATTTTCTCCAGCCTCTGCAGGCCACCAACATCCCCAATTTGAATAGTTACCACTGTCTCCAACATGATCTCTCCTTCTACTCTTATCCCCCTACTGACAATTTGCTATTTAGCAGTCAAGAGTGATCATCTCAAAGTATGAGTCACTCCACCATTGAATGCCCTTCAAAGATTTCTCTTCACTTAGGAGAAGTGAATGATCTGACCCACCTCTCTCCCCAAACCTAACTTGTGCTACACACATCCCTGATTATTATGCCACAGCCAAAGCCTTTTGGTTTCTTGGATGTGGCAAGCTCTTCATACATCCGTGATTCTGCATAGCCATTCCCTCTGCCTGCTCTTCTTTCCACTCTTGAAACAAACGGCTTTCTCATATTTCAAGTCTCAGCTTTACTGTGTCTTCTCAGAATCGGCCTCCTTCCCATCATTCTCTCTCAGTACCCTCATTCCCCCCATAGCACCCGGCAATTTTTAATAATTTTTTACTTCTTGTTGCTTTGGTTGGTCTCTCCCACTCGCCAAATGTTTCTGGAAGGCAAGAAGCAGTTCTGACTTGTTGACTCAGCACCTGACACAAGCTTTACACTAAAGCAGGTGCCCAGTATTTGCTTAATAAACAACTTTTACAACACCTGCTGACAACAGTCATTTCTATTTCCTGGTTCCCTGCAGTACACCACAAAAAATTATACTGCTAATTAGATGTTATCCTATGCTATGGTTTGTTCCCACCAAAACCCATGTTGATCTGCCACGGAAACCACACTGAGAGGTGGTGGAAGCTTTAAGAGGTGAGTGGATCAGGAAGGAGTATAACTCCCTTGAGGGTGGGTTAGTAATCGGTTTCCAGGGCTTTCTCTTGCACACATGCTCCTTCTGCATGCACCCCCTCTTCTTTCCTGCCAGGCAAGAGGGCCTCTGGCTCTCCAGAAACGATGCAGATGACAGAGTCACACTCTTGGACTTCTAGGACCATAAATCAAAACAAACCTTGTTCCTTTATAATAAATCACCCAGTCTCAGATATTGTTATATCAACAGACAATGGACTAAGGCACTCCAGCTGGACTTACGATGGGCCAAGTCCTCCTTAGGTTTCAGGAATCATGAACTCTAAAGTTACTAGTGTTGATGATTTTCAAGAAGCAGAAGTTTGTTATAAGCAGGTGCCTGGCTTCTCTCCTTTGCTCTTTAGTTAACAATTCTATTAACTGGCCAGGAGCTTATAAAGTGAGATACCTAAATGCTTGTGAGGCAAACTGTACTATCTGTGAGGAAAAAGACTCCAACAGTAAAGTCTGGAATGGGTGCTGCAGAGCTGTTTTGGCCAGCATTATTCTGTAAACCTTCAGTATCTCGTATGTCTTCGAAGTTCATATTAACTGCTTGCATCTTCTTTAAAAAGCTACTCATTTACATATTACTGATTTAAATAGTTGATTTTAGGATTCCTTACTTAACTCTTTACCTTCCTTCCTTACTTGCTTGTTCCTAGCCTTTATCTCTGATCCTAGACCAGCTAGGTTTAGATATTCCAACCTGAGAATGTTGGTTGTTTTTCGTTTGTTTGTTTGTTTTTGACAGGCAGAGTGGACAGTGAGAGAAGAGAGATAGAGATAAAGGTCTTCCTTTTTCCATTGGTTCACCCTCCAATGGCCGCTGCGGCCGGCGCATGGCACGGATCCAAAGCCAGGAGCCAGGTGCTTCTCCCGGTCTCCCATGCGGGTCCAGGGCCCAAGGACTTGGGCCATCCTCCACTGCACTCCTGGGCCACAGCAGAGAGCTGGACAGGAAGAGGAGCAACCGGGACAGAACCCAGCGCCCCGACCGGGACTAGAACCTGGTGTGCTGGTGCCGCAGGCGGAGGATTTGCCAAGTGAGCCATGGCGCCAGCAGAGAATGTTGTTTCATAACACAAAGCAAGCAGGTCTGCCACTAGTGAACAACATGGACTGTCCTCTGCTGTTTTCCCTAAGTTACTCTGAACCTGATGGAGGGCCACAACTTTTGAGGAAGGGAGGGCCCTAGAGTGGACAATGTAACTGCAATGTCACCCGCATCAGATAAGGTTTCAGTGAGGTAGACTTAGGAAAAGCCGATTAATAAACATAGAAGATCTCCAGAAAGATCATAACCACAACAGTGACTGCCTCTGGAGACAGCAGAGACAAGGAAACTAATTTTTCACTGAATAGCCTTTGAACTAAGTTTTCTTTTATCATGAACATGTTCTGCTTAGTCAAAAAATAAGTAAATTTCAAAATCTTAAAAAGAAATGCAGTATTGGTCCCTAATAGCCATTTAGCTGGAGTCAAGACCGTAAGACTGTTAGAAAAATATGACAGCAAACAATTAAAAAAGAACTTGGGTGGCACTGATTACAAGTTAAAAAGGACAAGAGGTCTGCTTGGTTGAAGGAGCTGGGTCTCAGATGATGGAATGGTAGAGGCATAAAGGTGTACATTCAAGTAAAGAGTCGATACCAGGGGCCAGTGCTGTGGCGTAGTGGGTAAAACCACCGCCTGCAGTGCCAGCATCCCATATTGGCACCGGTTCAAGTCCTGGCTGCTCCACTTCCGATCCAGCTCTCTGCTATGGCCTGGGAAAGCAGTAGAAGATGGCCCAAGTCCTTGGGCCCCTGCACCCATGTTGGAGACCCAGAATAAGCTCCTGGCTCCTGGCTCCTGGCTCCTGGCTTTGGATCAGTGCAGTTCCGGCCATTGCAGCCAGTTGGGGAGTGAACCAGCAGATGAAAGACCTTTCTCTCTCTCTCTCTGCCTCTCCTTCTCTCTCTGTAACTCTGACTTTCAAATAAATAAATAAATCTTTACAAAAAAAAAAGTAGATACTGAAATCAAAAAGGGCTGGCTCTAATCTCAATTCAAAGCTGACAAAATGAATGACAATTAACGAGTTTTATAATGTCTTTCAATCTCAGATTTCTTATTTGTAAAATGGGTGGAAAGAGGTTTGTTATAAAAATTAAGAATGTATGCACAGTGGTTAACATATTACCCAATATAGGATAGATGCCCAATTAAATTGTGCTTAGTATCAACATGGTAGAAGAGGGGAATCAGTCTTGCTAGAGTGAATGGTATCTGTTGGGTAACAGCAAACTGTGGAAGGTCATCTTATTTTGTCTCTGAAGTTCCAGTGAGAAGAATTATAAATAAATATCACCACCATGCATTCTCTAATGTTCAAGATGAGAGGTCTGACAATTATAGGAATTCTCTCGAGCATAGCGCCTCTGGTGCTTAATTCAGAGAGTTCTGACTGAAGGCCTTCCCACAGCCAATACATTTATAGGGTCTTTCCCCGGAATGGATTCTTTGGTGTCAGATAGGGTGAGCCTTAGAAATGAAGCTTTTCGGCCGGCGCCACGGCTCAATAGGCTAATCCTCCGCCTGCGGCACCAGCACACCGGGTTCTAGTCCTGGTCAGGGCGCCAGATTCTGTCCTGGTCGCTCCTCTTCCTGTCCAGCTCTCTGCTGTGGCCCGGGAGTGCAGTGGAGGATGGCCCAAGTCCCTGGGCCCTGCATCCACATGGGAGACCAGGAGAAGCACCTGACTCCTGGCTTCGGATCAGTGCAGTACGCTGGCCACAGCGGCCACTGGGGGTGAACCAACAGAAAAGGGAGACCTTTCTCTCTGTCTCTCTCACTGTCCACTCTGCCTGTCAAAAAAAAAAAAAAAAAAAGAGAAATGAAGCTTTTCTCACACTCATGAGACTTCTCCCCAGTGTGAACCCTCTGGTGCTGATCAAGATCTGAGTTCTACATACTGGTTTCTCCCTAGTATGGATTCTCTGATGTTGAAGAAAGGCTGGATTTCAAGTAAAGCTTTTCCCACATTCCTTATGTGTGTATGGCTTCCCCCCAGTGTGGATTCGTTGATATTGTATAAGGCTTGTGTTCTGACTAAAGCCCTTCCCACATTCCTTGCATGCAAAGGGTTTCTCTCCAGTGTGAATTCTCTGGTGCTGAATCAGGTTTGACTTCCAAAGGCTTTGGCACATTCCTGATATTTGTAGGGCTTCACTCCATTGTGAATTCTCTGATGTGCAAAGCAATGGGATCCGAAACCAAAAGCCTTCCCACACTCCTTACATTCATAGACCTTCTCTCCGTTATGAGTCCTCTGATGTTGGTTCACATCTTCATTTCTAGCAAAACACTTGCCACACTCTTCAGATACACAGAATACCTGCTCACTGAGAATTTTCTGATGTACATGAAGATGGCTGTTAACATCTCTGAACTCTTTTCTTTTGAGATCATGTCATCCTTGACGGTCACTTCTCCACACTGCCCCCATTGGGGTAGCCATGCCACCTCCCTAAGCGGCTTTTCTTCTTTTCATAGATTTTGCCAAACCAGAATTTCTGGGAGCTGTACCACCATGGCGCACTTGATAGCACCATGAGATCCTATGCCTTCTCAAAAATTTCCTCCTTCAAAATAAAGTCTTCTTTTTCATTCTTTTACTTTTTTATTTTTTATATAAAGCTTGTATTTGATAGATATAAATTTCATAAGTACAACTTTTGGATTGTAGTGGTTCTTCCCCCCCATACCTGCCCTCCCACTCCCAAACCATCCCACCTCCTACTCCCTCTCCCATCTTTCTCACTCTTTAACACACCCTCTGAAAGAAGAAATCAGAGCTTCAAATGTCATTATTACTCATGCCACAGCAAGGAAGGTCGTCAAGTGGCATTAATATGCCCATTTCTTTCCACGTGCTATCCACTGTTTCTCAGGAGCACTGTCATATCTGAAAATAGCAACTTGCAGAAAGCAACTAGAAACAAAAGGCAGGAACTAGACAGAGTCACCAGGGACTGTGATGCTCAGTGCTAACCAAGCACAGAGTAAGCTCTCTCAAAACAGCTGGATTGAATCGAGCAAGTTGAACTCTTTTTATGTAGCTGAGTCCAGTTTCTAACATGTGAAGAATGGGCCAGGACTCAGGGCAGGGGATGTAATTAGAAATAACAAAATCGTTTCTGGTATATCTGGGGAAACTGAGCTTGTCACACAGAAAGAACAGCAGCAAGAAGGACTTTCCTCATACTTCCAGCACAAAGGAAGGATAGTCCTCTCATCCACTCAAATCAGCAGATCCACCAGAGAAGTGCTTCCCCAAACTCCCTGAGGCAGAGCGAGGCCAAGAATCTCTCTTCTTTGTTCCCAGAGTATCTTTTATACTACTATAGCAACATTGATTTCGGTAATTATATTTTTATACATAATGTCCCATTAGACTTTGGGCTCCTCCAGGCTAAGAGCCATGTATTACTGGACTTCTGATCCCTAGCAACTAACATTATTAGTAAAATATAGCATGTGTGTTAAAAATATTTGCCAGGGTGGGCATTTGGTGTAGCAGCTAAGGCACCACTTTGGATGCCCACATCCCATATTAGAGTGCCCGGGTTTGAGTTCCAGCTCCAATCCCAATTCCAGCTTCCTGCTGATACATGTTCTGGGAGGCAGCAGGTGGTGGCTCAAGTGGTTAGGTTGTGGTCATCCATGTAGAAGACCCAGACTGAGTTCCTGACTTCTGACTTCAACCTGACCCAACCCTGGCTATTGTATATTTGCAGATTAAATCAGCAGAAGGACCTAGTTTGCACTCGCTCTTTCTCTTGCTCTCTCTCTCTCTGCCTTTGAAATAAATAAAATAAATAAATAAAAATTATTTTAAAATATTGGTTGAAGGCCGGCGCCGCGGCTCACTAGGCTAATCCTCCACCTTGCGGCGCCGGCACACCAGGTTCTAGTCC